ACTGGCAGATTTAAACTGCTATCCATGGGGTTAGCAGTCCAACTTGTAACCCTCTACACTACTAGGACTCCTAGACACCATGTCTAAGAGTTACCAGTAAAATGTGCTTCTGTTATCTATCACTCCTGGTATGGCACTGTAGGATCAGCAGTGGACTGTGAACCACAAGGTCAGGAGTTCAAACCCACCAACTGCTTCTTGGAAAATCTGTTCAGGGTCCATGTGAGTTGGAAGTAAGTCAACAGCACATAACAGCAACAGCACATTGTCTAGGAGGAACTTTCCTGTGGAAGACCAGAAGAAACTACATTTCTTTGAGAGTAGAGCACAAGGAGTGTTAAATAGGGAGGAAGGGAGTCAGAACGTGGTAGAGTAGTGCATTAGGGGTCCACTCTTGGGATGGAAGTGAATGTGGGAATGGGGAAAGAGGAGAGGGGAAGGTGTCGCCTGGCTACAGGGCAGAGAAACATGTAGTATTAGGGGAGCCACAAGAAGCTGAGAGGGCAAAAGGAAATATCCTTTCAACATGTTACTAGTACTTCCCCTTTAAAAGCAAAAATACCCCTCTAATTTTTTTGGACAATAAAAATTGAGATATCTGCCTTGGAACTAAGCTACAGATTCCATTAATAATTGGATTAATGCATTTTTTGTCATCTATTGGAGTTACATGCTGTTTTCATACATTTGCTCAATAGCCAAGGAACCCTGGTGAGGCAGTGGTTAAGTATTCATCTGCTAACAGAAAGGTCAGTAGTTCAGTCCCACCAGTCTCTCCATGGGAGAAAGATGTGGCAGTCTGTTTCTGTAAAGACAGTTGTTGTTGTTAAGCACTGTCGAGTCAATTCTGACTCATAGCGACCCTGTATAGGGTTTCCAAGGAGCAGCTGGTGCATTTGAACCTTGTGGTCCAAACCGACCTTGGCATCCAGTGCATTAACCCACAGCACCACACCAGGACTCCAGACACCAAGATTACAGACTTGACAATCCTGTGGGCCAGTTCTAGTCTGTCGTAGAGTGTTGCTAAGAGTCAGAAGTGATTTGATAGCAATGGATTTGTTTTTTCTTCAGTGGCCATTTTAAACTTTATTGTTTGGCCTTCAATTCTTAAACAAACTCATGATCTTGTCATTAATTCACCAGATTTCACTCAATACTAAAGGTATAAGGTAGTTATTCCCTATTTGGGTTATTCTGCAAATTCATTCCTGATAGAGTGCAATTTAAAACAGTGTTTCTCAACCTGTTTTTCATTACTGCCTTCACTGAGGAGTTTGGAGTCCTTGGATGATGCAAATGGTTAATGTGCTTACCTGCTAACCCTAATGTAGGCAGTCAGAGTCTATTGTGAGGTGCCTCTGAAGAAACATCTGAGGATCTACCTCCACAAATTCCGTCATTGAGAGCCCTAGGGAGCACAATTGTATTCTGACACATCTGGGACCACCGTAATTCAGAGTAGATTCAAAGACAACTGGTACAAAACAATTCTTTTCTCATTTTATCCTCATGCAATTTTAACACCACAGTCCCCTGACCTTTTGGAGAGCCACCCACTACTGTATTAGGATCTCTCAGCATCAGCAAGAACCTCATTTTCTGCCTCAGGGGTGATATTGCCCACAGTGACGGTGACTCTTCCAAAGTGGTGTTTTCTTCTGAACTTCTTCATGTGTACAGTTACTGTTGATCCCCTTATCAGCCCCTTTACTGCCTGCCTTCGATAAGTAGCTGGACTTGAACATGTATCAGATTCCAACACTGTCGAGGTCCTATGTCAGGGTCCAGCCTCGATAAGGAAGTGTGGGTGTCACGAAGAAGGGAGATCTGTCAGCGAAAGGGATAGAGAAAGAGAGAGACGAAATATATACAAAAAAGACAGACACACAGATAAGATGCAAGCTTGCAGGTAGGCAGATCTGCAAACATGTTGCCTAGCATTGCAAGCAGAACTCACTCTACCTCAGTCTTTTATTCTCTTTTTTAGGGAGGGATTTGTTACAAAGGAAGGATATAATTCACAAAGGGAGGATGTGATTCTTTAGATAAGACAGGATATGGAACTGAAATGGGATTAATCATTCAAAACAGGGCATAATGATTCACAGGAACAACTTTTAAAATATTTTCATAGTTTTTCTTAACAATCTAACATTTTTATTTTTTACAGAAAAAAGGTTCAATCAAGCTGTTATATATTAATTTTTAGGCTTAAATGATCTAGAGCAGTGACGTGTGGTTTCTTAAGGATACTTAACATAAAGCAAGTTTCCTGAAAGGAGCCAAGCTGTCTCTGTACGCTTTGCAAACTTTTGTTTGTGAGCAAGATCTCAGACACCGGGCTTCATTTATCTATATATCTAAATGCTACATTGTTCTTAATGATCACATTCCTATATACTTTCAGGAAGAAGGAGAACATCTGGGTTAAACTGATTATATTCAGAGGTGGTTCAATGGGGCTGCTATAATTATCCTCTAATCCAACGTTCCCAGAATTTACCATTCCACTTTATTTACAAACCTTGGGTAGTTTTTCTCTAAACACCTTTTCTCATATTCCCAATATACCTGTTCCTGGCCTTTCTGAATTATCTGAGGAAACTTTTACTGCCTCGGCTCTAAAAACGGGGTTTCAAACCCATTATTGTTCATGGTTATTAAACATAACGGGATAACCAAATAAGGAGCATACATCCCAGGTGGCTATCGCTTGTTCCTCAGAAAGATTTGTTCCCAGGACTCCACGCACTGCCAACACAGTGAAGGCATTAAGAGAGGCATTGTAAAAGAAACCACTTTCTCAGAAGCTACAATTACTGGAGTTAGAAGCATAGAATGAACAATATTATTACCAAAGGAAATTATACAGAGGTAGCCAACTAATGAGTTCACAAAAACTAATGAACCTGGGACGTCAGAAGGTCACTTCCTTTGGCCCTCAGGGTCCATGGCTCGCAGTCCTGAGTAGGGCCCCTGGAATTGGATTTTCACCCATGTCACAGGGCCACAGCTTCTCAGTGCTTGCGTTTGCTGTCCCCAGCACAACACAACAGCAAATACCAAGAAAGCATGATAACATACCTGTAACATATTTTGTAGTGCCCCAAGAGGCAACTGCCAGCTTCAGTTTCTGGACAGGACATGTATGCATCAATAATGTTTAATTGTGTGTGTGTGCATAGAAGCATGTTTGAGTCTTCTTTTTTTCTACTAAAATTAAGGAGGAGCAGGGGATGGCGTATGTCCCTGTCAGATGTGGACTGAAGGTCGATAATGTGGTTTAAGGAACCTCTCTGCCAGTGTCAATGAAGTGAAATCACTTACGTAGTGTAGCCGTGTCCAGTAATTATTTAGTTTTTCTTTGTAATTATTAGTAATTCTTTGCTGTGTCCAGTAATTATTTAGTTAACATGTCTATTTAAAAAGGGCATTTTCTCAAAATACTAAGTGTATGGTTGTCATGTAAGATAAGGTATAAATAAGTCAGTTGGAGGGTCACAAATATAGGCTCTGGGCTATGATGTATCTGTTGAAATCTCACTGTTTTTTATTAGCTATGTGTCCTCCAGAAAGTCACTTAAATTCTTTGAACTTCAGTTCTCATTAGAATTATAATAATCCATCCCCGATGGATGATTATGAGAATGTGCCTAATACAGTAATAATATCTGTAACTAAGTATATATGCATATCTAGCACAAAGCTTGCCTTGTAATAATTGGTCAGTAGACAAGGAAGTAGTTTATTTATTGATTCTTCTATTTGGAGATGGATATTCAGAGTTCAGTGCATTGGGAATAGTAAAACCAACATCAAAAAAAGAAGAAGAAAAGAGTCTATCATTTATTAAGCAGCCACTATATTGAGTACTTTTATGTGCATGCTTCCGTTTCAGTGGTGTTGAGTCCATTTTGGTTAGTAGCCAAGAGCTTAACCATTGTGCCATCGGGTCTCATACTAGACCAAAAATTTGGGTTTTACACACAGTCTGTATATTCACTCATTTATTCCTTCAACTTGGGAGAAAGATGAGGCTTTCTGCTCCTGTAAGGATTCACAGCCTTGGATATCCTATACAAGGTTGCTATGGGTTGGGACCAACTCCATGGCACACAGCCACCACCACCACCATTCATTCACCAGTATTGGTGGTATGTACCATGTGTGTCATGTACAGAAAACAGTCTTGTACTAACCTTTTAGCAAGTCCTTTCATACTGCCAACACCCACAGTCTCCTTGCCGCATATTGCCAGGCACTGGGGAATATCTGCAGGAATCCTTAGAATCAAAGCATTGTCTCAAGCAGACCTATGATTGTGGCAGTCAACAAAACTGCTCACTTCAGGAACGGCCTTACCTGTGTCCAGAGTCTGTCATTTTATCTCTCTGCTGGTCCACATTACTAATTCAGCTAATTGCAGCAATTATGTGAAGGAATTGCTGCTACTGAGAGAAGCCATTATACTGTTCCTGAACAGACTGCAGTCTACAGTGTTCATTAATTACGCCAGCCGATCGACTCCAACCATGAAAGCATACACTTGAGACCACATGCCATATGCATTGAAACCTTCTCAAAGCTGCAGTGCCTTTCTGCTCTGACTTTCACACTGCCCACCATTTACAACACCCTGCTCTTGCCCTTCTGGGTCTAGAAATTCATCTAAAAGTCAGGTTAGAGTCATGCTGTTTACTATGAATTACAGCGATGTGATAGAGGCTTGCACCTATCACCTGGAACCACCTAGTGCTACTCAGCTTCACTTAGACGCACACACATTATCTGTGCTCAGAACCTTTCACAGCTACATAGGAGTTAAAAATTCTCCATCCTACAATGTGCCCTCTTTAAAAAAGAGAATCAGTAATAATCATGGGAGGCGGGACACAGTGGTAAGTCTTTTGATCCTTTGCTCATTGGTTTCCATATCTCTCTCCCTCTCTCTTTTTTCTCTCTCCCCACACCCTATTATTTTTCTTTGACATGCACAGCCAACGTCAGATGACCTTGTTTCATCTGCTGAATGTTCTAGCGATGATGAAGACCTTGTGGAATGTGAGCCGAGTACAGGTAGGTCAGGTTAGTCTTTTGCTTGCTTCTCTTTTTTCATTTGCGAAACCCAGTACATACATATATGTGAAAATATACATGTTTTATATATAGTAGAGTGTGCTAATGTGTGTGTATCTCCTATATCTATATATGTATAGGCATACATATATAAATATTAATATATCAATGAAAGCATCAAATCCCATGGAATGAACAGTAAGGTCCCAGGGAAATTGACACTCTGTCACTATTAACTTAAGAAAAATTGTTGGTGCAGGACCTTAGCCACTAGAAATGCAAATGTGGCAGAAATGAGATTGACAACAGGTGGGGACATGAAGAGGAGGACAAAAAAGTATCAACCAAAAGTAGACCCATAAAAATTGGTAAATAGCATTTCAACCTCATAAAGTCCTCTGAATCCAAGTGACAAACAAAACAAAAATACATTTTTTCCATGGGATTTTGACAGCAGTTAACATGGTATTATACTTATACTAATTTTGTTCATTGTGTGTCTAAAGAACTTATAAAGCAATATAATATAGTGAACCAAAATTAGTGCGGACCCAGGCATGTCAACGCTGTGATGCTTCAAAATGTACCTACTGTGCTGCAGTTGAAAAGACTTTGGCAATTAGAAGCTTCCCTGTTTGGATCCAGATACATTTTGATGTTCTATGATCTTTCTTTATAGTGAGCTGTATATCATATAATATCCAACAGGAGTTTTATATATATAAAATAGAGAACAGATATCATTGAATTTCTGTGTATGTTTAATGGAATTAAACTGGAGTGATGTTAATATCTTATTTTAGCAAAGGCTAAAAGAAATAAATAGAACTCTCTAATTGATTCTTTTCATTGTTTTATGATTTTCTTCTTTTTTAAACAAAAGCCAAGTCATTAAATAATTGCTTTTTCTAATTCCAAAGAAATTTAAGCTTCATGAAAAAACAAAAGCAGTAGCAGAAGTAAAGCACCCTCCATTTTTTACCCCCAATGATTGAAAACTGTTAATGCCTGACTCCTTGGAGACTTGCAAGTGGCTTTGGATCCAGGAAGTTCTATGGGTTCCTGTTCTTAGCATTATAGGGACATAATGAAGTAGGGAATTTACATCCTAGAGTGTGATGTGTTTCTTTGGGAGTTCAGTTGTATGGAAGGGAAAGGAAGTCTGACCTGGTTAATCAGATTTTTTTCCCAGGTTATCAGGTAACAGTCTCAGTGTACTAATGTGAGGTTTTATCTCTAAAGAGCAGATAAATCCAATCTATACAAGAACTTGGGCACCAAGTTCTTATTCATTAATTCACTCATCCACCCATTCATTCAATAAATATTTCTTGAACACTCAGGCAAGATACAATGTAGTCCTGAATTTGAGTCCTTCCTATTTTTAATCATGTTCATAAATGAGCTGTCAGAAAATAGAATAAAAAGATTTACTATCTAAATTACCTCTCCAACATAATTTAGTTCAACAATTTTTTGAAGCTCAACTATTTGTGTTTGATACTGTGAGAGATACTAAGAATTCAGACAAGAATACTGCATGATCCCCAAGATGTGATGTTCAATAAATTGATTTCATTGCTAATCGTTTAAGATACCAATGGTTTGGATTGTCATCAGTGATAATTGTATATGCAACATTTATAAAGTTCTTCTATTTTAAGCCTTCTTAGAAAAGATGAAGCTTGAGCCTTCATAAATGTTACTACCACCTCCCCCATCACCACCACCTCTATTCCTGCACACACTGAAATCTACGAGCTCCGCCTCTCCAGAGATGATTGATAACATGCTTGCCATTTGTTTTCAAAACCGTATGAGCCCAAACATGAATGGCTCCAAACCAAGGCCATTTACTTTTTAGTGTATTCAAAGATGTTTCATCTGATTCAAAAGTCCAAGCCAAAAATCCCCAAACCCACTACCATGGAGTCGACTCATACTCCAAGTGATCCTGTAGGGCACAGGTGAACCGCTTCTTAGGGTTTCAGAAGCTGTATATCTTCTCGGAAGCAGACGGACTCATCTTTCTACAGATTGGCTTGTGTATTTGAACCACAGACCTTTCAGTTAGCAGCTCGAGACTTAACCCACTGAGTACCAGTCTTGCTTCTAAAGCAGACAAAACGAATTCGGTGCCAGCATTTCTAACGTACTATAGATTCATATTATAATGTTGTTGTTATGTGCCATGGAGTCGGTTCCGACTCATAGCGACCCTATACAGGGTTTCCGAGGCTATAAATCTTTACGGGAGCAGAAAGCCTCATCTTTCTTCCTTGGAACAGCTGGTAGTTTTTAACTGCTGACCCTAAGATTCGCAGCCCGATTTGTAACCACTACGCTACCAGAGCTCCTTCATATTATAATAGGTGAGGGATAAAAGCAATTTTTGCAACAAACGTGTTCTGCAGGGGACCTCAGGGACACCTGAGTGGGGTGGGACTATAAATAAAGTGGATCACAGATTCCCTAACCTGAAGGAGTTGATCCCCTCTGCCTACAATTATTCATCTCATCATATTTGCAGAATAAGCATTTCCTCTTTCTAAATTTATCTGCTTATAAAAGTTAGTCCTGGTAAGTGATTTGGTTAAATAGAGGATTATGTCCGAAGCTTATTTAATCAAGAAGGGAAGTAGCCAGTCCTGCTGATGCCTAGAGAGCAGAGGTTTTGCCCTGGGGCCCTGATTAATTCTGATGAAGGTTATATGCATACGACTCTCAAGCCCTCTTCCATTAGATAAGAGATAGCTCTCCAATCTTTACATTCTCTCAAAAATCAATACAGATGAAGTATCAGAGGCATTTGAACCAGTTTTTTTCTGGGTCCAGGTTATGCACTTCCAGAAGGGAAGGTTTCCATTGAGTGATAGACAATGGTGACATTTGCAGAACTTTGACATAAATGGTTCATCCTGAGATGTTTTATAAACATTCAGATTACAGTTCTTTTAGCTTTATGATTCACTGCCTCAGTTTCCACAATTATGCTTCCCACCTAGGACTAAGGCTTGATGGGAATACACTGAACTTGACTGATTACCCTGGTCTTGTTTTACGGTATTTTAACAGTTACCATATACAGGGTCCCTATGAGTTGGAACTGACTCAGTGGCACTAAACAACTACAGTAGTAGGATAGGAGTCATGGTGCGGTGCGATCAGAGACTGCAAGGCTGGTTGGAACCATAAGGTCGGTAGTTCAAACTCACTAGTTGCTTCTTAGAAACCCTATACTGGATGGCTATGAGTTAGAACCAACTTGACGTCACTTAACAAAACCACATGCCTTCTCTCACTTTGTTAGAAACTTTATTATATTCTAACTGCCCTGGTTTCCAGGCATTTCCAGGCATTTAACTTCTATGGGTTATTTCTGTGTTCACTTAGAAATATTTGAAATCCTCACTTTAAATAAATTTGGTCAGTCTAGTGTTTGCTATGATTCAAACAGCTTTGTTTTCATGTAGACATTAACATTTTAATGAAATTATATTTAATTTAGTGTTCTTCAAGTAAAAATAGATTTCATAGCTGCTGGCTTTGAGTCACATGTAAGCAATTGCCTTTTCACAGCCAGAACCCACTTTGGCATTTACAGGTATATGTGGTAAGGAGCCCTGATGTCATAGTGGTTAAAGCACTTGCGTGCTAACCAAAAGGCCAACAGCAGTTCAAATCCATCAACCATTGGAGAAAGAAGTGGCAGTGTGCTTCTCTAAAAATGTATAGCCTTGGAAACCCTATGGGGCAGTTCTACTCTGCCCTGTAGAGACTATGACTATGGGTTTGGTATAGTTGGTTTGATTATATCATGTTTTGAGACATGGTTTGGAGTTTGGGTAACTATAACCTTAGAAACCTTGCATATCTAATGAACCTCAAATCTCCACTATATAATTTCTTCCTGAATATATGTAAATAAATATAGAAATAAGCAAAACATACAACTCAATTATGATATCAAGGTCACAGAGTCAAAACTGAAATAGTATCTATTGATTAAATGAATGTTCATCATCTTAGAACTGGAGCACACTTTTTCATACCTATGACTTCATCTCCCTTTAAACAGATAAAATAAACCTACTGAATTAATTAAAACTTATCATTTTGCATAAGTAAATTTGACCCTATCAAAACCTTCATTTGTTCCCCACTAAAAGAATATCCTCATTTCTCCTACCCCTCCTCTTCCTGACTCATTTTAGAATGAGTCACAGATAAGATTGTGTTTTCTGAACATTTGCTTTAAGGACTCAAAATTGAAGTTTTAGCTATAAAATCACAATGAAGATTCTACATCAGTTCAGAAACATTCAGAAGACTTTTTAAAGTATCTAAAGGTAAGGAGCAACATTTTAACTTTGCTCCATTACAAACATGGACTGTATTCTCCACAAAAGAAATCAGAGTCTGCTAAATATTTCAAATCAGTTTCTTTACATATAAACCTTTCCTTTCCAACCATACATTTATTGATCATCAATTGGACTGTAAACTAATATTTCATTGGCCTTCTTATTTTCATGCCAACAAGAAAAGTAGATGATCTGAAAAGGGGCCAAGCAGTCATCAGAAAATGGAATTCCCTCCTGATATTATAAAAGCCAAATAGCAATGAAAATCTTTAGTAAATCCACGTTTGTAATCTAAAATGTGGAAATTGATTTTGAAGCATAAAGAAATTGGTAAATTTTACTTTTATTCTTCTACATCCAACTGCTAACTGCAATATCTTTAGCTTTGTAAACTGACATCAAAATAAAACAAATGTGTTTAGATTAATTTTTATGTAATTAACAATTAACTTCCTTTATTTTACATATTTATAGTTTCAATATTCCTAGACATCTTGGTGGGTAGGAGCGTATCCAGGACAGAAAAGACAGTAAAAGAAATTTCTTTACCACCTGACCAATGGGCTTGGCTATGTTAAACAACCATGTTAATTAATTCATTCATTATCTCAGGATGCATCTTTCTGGTTGTCAATT